GAGACATCCCAGCAAAATTGTCTGCCTCCTTAACTACTCCTGGGCTACAGCCACACCTCATTGCCACCCTCCTCCCTGAACCCATACCTCCCTCAATAGCTCCCCTTTTGTCCCCCTAACTTAATCTTGGGGTGTGGGACACCACCTCCCCATCCCTTGCTACAAGTCACTCACCCTCATCATCCCCTTAAAACCTAACCCCTCTTGCCCTGCCCAGCACTAGCACCCCATCCCACAACAGGCTTTAAAAGCCCTAAAGCCTGTTATCGCCTGTCTATTGCGACATGGCCTTAATTCCTACAGACTCTCCCTACAAGTCCCCTGTCCTAGCTGTCCAAAAACCAGACAAATTCTACAGACTAGTCCAAGACCTCCGCCTCATTAATCAGACTGTACTTCCCATCCACCTGGTTGTACCAACCGCTATAGCCTCCTATCTTCCATTCCCCCTTCCACAACTCACTGTTCTGTTCTTGACCTCAAAAATGCTTTTTTTCTAAAGCCCAAATTTCTTCCCCGTCTTTTATAATCCTTCACAAGTATACACGTGCTCTCCCTGCCAACCGTATCCAGTTAATTTCCCAACCCCCACCCCATCCACTAAACAGCCGCTTCTCTCCTTCCTAGGCGTTAGCGGACACTTTCGCCTCTGAATACCAGGTTTGCCCCCCTAACCAAAGCACTTTATAAACTTACAAAAGGAAACCTATCGGACCCCACAGACGAAAAATCCTTCCCCCATTCCTCCTTCCATTCTTTAAAAAAGGCCTTAGAGACTGCTCCTACTTTAGCACTCCCCAGCTCCTCTCAACCATTCCCTCTACCCAGCAGAAACAAAAGGCTGTGCCATCAGGATTCTTACCCAGGAGCCAGGCCCACGGCCTGCAGCTTTTTTATCCAAGCAACTTAACCTCACAGTCCTGGGCAGGCCCTCGGCAGCAGCTGCCGCCCTGATGCTCTTAGAATCTCTTGAAATCACAGGCTATGCCCCACTTCCCCTCTACAGCTCTCACAACCTCCGCAGTTTTCCTCTTCACATCTCAGCCACTTTCAGCCCTCGCCCTATCCAGCTTTATGTAGTCGCCCCTACGACTTAAGCCACAACTCAGAAGGTTTCTGTTATTTTCTGTCTGACTGTGCTCAGATCCTCGCACTCATTACTTTCACACGCCCTGCTTCTGTTTAAATTGCAGTTTACACCTTTCCTCCAGGTAATTACAGCCCATATTTCACTCTTAATCCGGCTCCCGTTCTCTGTTCATACCCAATCTTGTTCATGCAAGTGAGTGGTTACTTACAGATACCACAGGCTTTCTCTTTTTTTTTTTTTGAGACGGAGTTTCGCTCTTGTTACCCAGGCTGGAGTGCAATGGGGTGATCTCGGCTCACTGCAACCTCCGCCTCCTGGGTTCAGGCAATTCTCCTGCCTCAGCCTCCTGAGTAGCTGGGATTACAGGCACACGCCACCATGCCCAGCTAATTTTTGTATTTTTAGTAGAGACAGGCTTTCACCATGTTGACCAGGATGGTCTCGATCTCTTGACATCGTGATCCACCCGCCTCGGCCTCCCAAAGTGCTGGGATTACAGGCGTGAGCCACCGCGCCTGGGCCAATACCACAGGCTTTCTCATACGCCATGAAAACCAAAGCTCTCCCTCTGCACAGTTACCCACCAAGCCCCGATATAGCCTTTAACAGCTGCAGCCTTGCTGGTTCTCTTGCAATTTGGGTCCAAGACCCCAGCCCTCCCAGAACACGTTCTCATCTTTTCAGTTTACAGCTCCAGTTCTGTCTAAGCCAAGGACTTTTTTTTCCTCTGTGGTTCTTCTTACATCTGTCTTCCTACCAACTGGACAGGCACTTGTACCCTAGTTTTCCTTAAACCCAAAATTCAGTTTACCAACAGAGACGAAAGCCTCCGGGTTCCCCTTGTGGTCCTGACATGTCACAAGCGGGTCATTCCATTGATCCCCTTACTTGTAGGGTTAGGAATTAGTACTGCACTCAGCACGGGCATAGCAGGCCTTACCCCTTCAATCGTCTCCTCCCATAGCCTCTCTAAGGATTTCTCTGCTAGCACTGCAGAATTAACTCAGTCACTATCCCTTCTTCAAGCTCACATAAATTCCCTGGCTGCAGCTGTCCTCCAAAACTGCAGAGCTCTTGATTTACTGACTCCTGAAAAAGGAGGTCTTTGTCTATTTCTAAATGAAGAACGTTGTTTTTATGTAAACCAGTCCGGCCTCGTATATGAGGCCATCAATAAATTAAAAGAGCCCAAAGCTCACTAATCAGGCGGATGGTTATTCTGGAGCTGGCTGGACTGACTGGACACTCTCTATCTATCTGGGAGTCATGGCTTCTTCCAGTCCTTAGTCCTCTGCTACCTATATTTCTCCTTCTCTTATCTGGACCCTGTGTTTTCCAGTTAATCTCTCAATTCCTACAAAATTGTATACAAGCAACAAGCAATCAGTCAATATGACAAATGATCCTCCTAACACCCCCACAATATCACCCCTTGCCCTGAGATCTCCCAGCAGTTTAAATTCTTTCCCATTTTCAGGTGTCCACACCGCTCCTAATCCCGCTTGAAGAAGCCCTGAAAACATTGCCCCATCACCCCTCTGTGTCGGCCTCCCTAATATTCCACTGCCCTCCACTCTTCATTTCTTTTTTCTTTATATTACTACTATAAAAAGACAGGAATGTGGCTGGGCGCGGTGGCTCATGCCTGTAATCCCAGCACTTTGGGAGGCCGAGGCGGGTGGATCACGAGGTTAAGAGATCGAGACCATCCTGGTCAACATGGTGAAACCCCGTGCCTATTAAAAATACAAAAAAAATTAGCTGGGCATAGCGGTGGGTGCCTGTAATCCCAGCTACTCAGGAGGCTGAGGCAGGTGAATTGCCTGAACCCAGGAGGCGGAGGTTGCGGTGAGCCGAGATCGCGCCATTGCACTCCAGCCTGGATAACAAGAGCAAAACTCCGTCTCAAAAAAAAAAAAAAAAAAAAGACAGGAATGTAAGATCTGACCGAGCTAAGAACCTCAGCGCACCTGCACCCAGATGAATAAACTGCCATGTTGCTCACACAAAGCCTGTTTTGGGGGGTCTCTCCATTCAGAGTGTGTTTTAACAGTGGGGTGGGGCTCTGTAAATCTGGGAGGGCTGTTGGTCTAGACAGCGCTGTAAGGAGGGACCTGAGCAATTTCATTGCTACTCCGGCTGCTGTAGACAGAATCCATGTCAGTGGAAGCTGAAGACCAGTGAGGAGCCTGCTGCCAGGATCCAAGTGAGATGTCATGAGGGCGGCGAGAGAAGGGAGGAAGAGGCAGCGGTATTTAGAATGGCTTTTGAAGGTAGAGAACACAGGATTTGCTGAGGGGCTGGATGTGGGGAGTGAGGGAAAGAGCAGGCAGGACTGCACAGTTTTGGCTTGAGCACCTAGGAGAGTTATCATTATCTGAGATGTGGAAAGTGGCGGGTACTTGGTCTGGGTTATGTTTGAGACGCCCAGTGGCCATCTGAGTGAAGGTGCTGTTGGGGCTCAGAAAGCGATGCCTAAAAATATGGCACTTGGGCATGCTGAGTACTTTGAACCAAAGGACTCTGGAAGAGCCTCAGAAGCAAAGTCTCTCTCTCTGACCTCCTGCCCCCCTTCTTTCTCCTGCTTTTCTTTCTCTTGCAAGGCAGGCCATAGAAACTAAAATTCCTCCTCCCCAAGGTGAGTTATAGAAACTACAAATATTACTGGAAACATCCCCCACCTTTCTGTGTCGGACCTGACCATAAAGGAATCCTCTGACCTACCTTGTCTAATACTAGGTCGTAAGACTCTCATTCCAGAAGGGGTCTTGCCCTCTTCCCAGGAGGAGGGAATTCCACACAGAGAGAACAAGAAGAATCTGAACAGGCAGACCTTGCTGGGTTTCCACACTCAGCTGTTACCATTAAACCATTGCCTTTTGTCTAATCGCGTTTATACACAGTTGTCCATGCCTTATTCCTTTTTTTTTCTGTTGCCCAGGCTGCAGTGCAGTGACACAATCACAGCTCACTGCAACCTCGACCTCCTGGGCTCAAGCAATCCTCCCACTTCAGCCTCTCAAGTAGCTAGGACCACAGGCACCTGCCTGGCTAATTTTTAAATTTTTTTTTGTAGAGATGGAGTCTCACTATGCTGCCCAGGCTGTTCTTAAATGTCTGCCCTCAAGCGATCCTCCTGCCTCAGCCTTCCAAAGTGCTGGGATTACAGGCGTGAGCCACTGCACCCAGCCAGGACTGTCCATTCTTCATCAAACTGAGACATAAAGTTTTACCTGAATATTTGGGTCTTCCTGAAGGCGCTCAAGTCATATAAAACATTTGAGTAAATTAATCTGCGATGCTTTTCTCTTGTTAACCTATCTTTTGTTTATAGGAGTGTCCGCTGCGACCCTTGGGATGAGTGAGGAAAAATATCACACCTTTCTGCCCCGACCATGCCTAGAACAAAGCATTTGTCACCTAGTGGTTTCTCAATAAATACCTGATGAATGAATAAAGAAAGAAATAGCTGAGCCTGTATGAGCAGTCCCTGACCCTCAGGCAGGGAAGGGGAGCCGGCTGCTTTTGCGGGAGCTGTGACTGCCTGCTTTGCTGCCTCCCACGAACCTTCCTTGTAGAATATTAATACTCGACTTCCATTTTCCCAGCGGCTGGCGGGGGCCTTGCTTGAGGCAGTCTCTCATTTCCTCTGCACAAAACCCTCAGCAGGTATTCACTGCACAGACGCTTACTGAGTGCCCACGGTGAGCCTGGCACGATCCTCGCCCTCGTGGTCCCCACAGAGGTGGAAGGACAGGCCTCGTGGGGTGCGCTCCACGGAGGACATCCAGTCCCAAACCAGCTCTGCCAATACCAGCCTCGCTAGCGCGCAGGGCGGGAGCCCAGTGGGGCGGGGCTTAGGGGGTGACCTGGAGGGCGGGGCACTGGGAGGGCTGGCCCGTGGTGGGCGGGGCACAGCGTTGCTAGGGGGATTCTGATAGGTTGCGCGGAGGGTTGTCCTTGTGAGGCCCCGCCCCACTGGAACGCTGCAGGCTTCTCAGGTTAGGGGATTGGAGACAGTAGCGACCGCGGGACTGAGCACTTCTGAAGGGTAAGTACGGCAGGAGGTGACTCTGCGGTTTTGGGGGGCCCAGGGCAGGAACCTGGACCCGGATGGGAGTCCGGAGCCTGGCCCCAGCCCCGCCCCTCGGCTCTTCCTGGACTGCCTTGAGCCAGTCGCCGCCTTTTTCTGAGCCCAGGCCGCTCCGAAGGCGGCCCGTGGGCGCTCGGGGCTCCCACCACTGCAGAAGGAGTGAGGTCTGACGTCCAAGACACATTGTTTAGTATTTATGAAGGAAGAACTCAAGCTCCGGGAAGTGATGGCTCGGGATAGGGCGGGCAACGTGGGGACCGAGTGTAGGACCCACGCCCAAGGTTGAGGGTGGCCGGGCTAGCCAGGCAGCCGTGACCCCACTGCTTTTCTGACGTTTCTTAGCTTCCAGAACCCAACACATACAACTGATCCTCGCAGAGCAGACCTGATCAGGTCCTCGGAAGCTGCGTCCAGAGCAATGCTGCTGAAGACAGGTACCTACACCGGCTGGGGTGGTTTGAGAGGGTCGAGGGGAGTGCTGCAAGGAGTGCTTTGACTGGCCCTTCTTCCCTCATGTGGTTATGTGCGGAGACAGGTTCTTCTTTTTCTTGGAGCTGGGCAGGAAGGGAGGAGGAGATACTTGCCCATTCAGGAATCAGTTTCCCTTCAAAGAGGCCCTTCCTTTCTCACCTCCTCTCCCTTAAGTCCAGAGGCTCTAACTGATGTGATATCAACATGTGCGGAGAACGACCTGTACAGTTCCTACAGATAAGGAAACATCTTACAGATAAGGAAACTGAGGCCCGAGGGGTAAAGGGGGAAAGTGAGCTGATTGGGCGTCTGTCCTGGCTGGCTTACTTCTTAAGCCTCCCTGAGGATTCTTGAGGGTCTATGGTAGAGAGCTCTGGACTGGGGCTTAGGAGACCAGGAGTCTGGCCAATGGTCCCAAACGATTTTTCAACTTTACTGTGGTGTGAAATTGACACATTCAGTAGGAACCACAGTACCCATACAACCATTCCATTCACTTTCTGTATTCAGTAAATTGCATGAAATATTCAACAATTTATTATAAGATAGGCTTTGTGTTAGATGGTTTTGCCCAGCTGTAGGCTAATATGCCTTGTTGGCACTTTTTTTTTTTTTGAGACAGAGTCTCACTCTGTCACCCAGGCTGGACAGTGTGCTGGAATGCAGTGACGCAATCTCCACTCACTGCAACTTTCTTCTGGGTTCAAGCAATCCTACTGCTCAGCCTCCCAGTAGCTGGGATTACAGGCACGCGCCACCTCGTCCAGCTAATTTTTTGTACTTTTAGTAAAGATGAGGTTTCACCATGTGGCCCAAGCTGGCCTTGAACTCCTGACCTGAGGTTATACGCCTGCCTTGGCTTCCCAAAGTGCGGGGATTACAGGTGTGAGCCACTGCACCTGGCCTGTCAGCACTTTTAAGGTAGGCTAGGCCCAGCTATGATGTTTTGCAAGTTAGAAGTTAGGTGTATTAAGTGTATATATATATATTTTTTCATTCGATACACAGGTGTTCAACAGGTTGCTTCCTCCATATTAAGTATATTTTTGACATAATATTTTCTTTTTTAAAAAAATTATTGAGACAAGGTCTGGCTGTCACAGCCCAGGCTAGAATTTAGTGGCACGATCTCAGCTCACTGCAACCTCCACCTCTGGGGTTCAAGTGATCCTCTTGCCTCAGCCTTTTGAGTAGCTGGGATTGTAGGTGCACACCATCATGCCAGGCTAAGTTTTTGGATTTTTAGTAGAGACAAGTTTTCACCAATTGGCCAGGCTGATACTGAACTCCTGACCTCAAGTGATCCACCTGCCTCGGCTTCCCAGAGTATTGGGCTTACAGGCGTGAACCACTGCGCCCAGTGATATTTTCAACTTACTTTATGAGAATGTAGCTCCATGGTAGGTCTAGGAGCATCTGTATAGTTAAGTTCTGCATATGGGATGGGAGGAGCTGATGGCGGGGGTATAGTAAGGAAGTAGCTTCTGGTGTTTGTTTTGCTAATTCGAGCACTGGTGATGGCCAGACCTCAAACCACTGCCTGGCCCAGGCACCATCCTCCCACTTAAGGCTTTGCAGGAGCCAGCCATTGCAGGAAGAATGGCTAAACCCAAGAGACCAGTTTCCCTAATATATAGACAGGCAGCCTCTGTAGGGCTAAGCAACATACGGATAGGGTGGGATGAGGGCTGGAGCTGTGGGGGCCACTGGCAGTCACCATCCCCTCCTCCCTGGCCCCCTAGTGCTCTTGCTGGGGCATGTGGCCCAGGTGCTGATGCTGGACAATGGGCTCCTGCGGACGCCACCCATGGGCTGGCTGGCCTGGGAACGCTTCCGCTGCAACACTAACTGTGATGAGGACCCAAAGAACTGCATCAGGTAAGGTCAGCATCCACCTGACAAGCCTTGCCCAGGGCCCTGCAGAGTTGGGGGCAGGAAGTGGAGGGTCAGCCAGAAAAGAAGGCAGGGTCACACTTCTCCATCCCAAAGACTGCAGACAGAAGTCACTTAGACTGTCAGATGCCTAACACCAGCCTAGCCCCATGACCTACCTGGGGCCTCTATAGGGACTGTCAGGCCCCAACCTGGGCAGAGACCTTACAGGGACCCAGCCCATGAGATAACTGTTAAAAGGTCAGGCCAGGCTCGCTGAATTCCCTTGACCCAGTCCTGCCTTTTGGCCTGGGGCCAAAACTCCTGAGGACCCAGCCCATGAGATAACTGTTAAAAGGTCAGGCCAGGCCCCTTGTCTGGGAGGCCTGGGTCAGTGGTTTGGCTTTGGGCCAGCCACTCCTTTCAAGCCAGCTTGCTTATGGCTCATGGCACAATCCTTGGTGGTCATTTACACAGATACCTGGCTTAGGCCTCAGCAAGGTCATGGTTTTTTGAGACGAAGTCTTGCTCTGTCACCAGGCTAGAGTACAGTGGCATGATCTTGGCTCACTGCAACCTCCATCTCCCAGGTTCAAGTGATTGCCTTGCCTCAGCCTCCTGAGTAGCTGGAGCTATAGGCGTGCGCCACCATGCCCAGTTAATTTTTTGGTATTTTAGTAGAGATGGGGTTTCACCATGGCCAGGATGATCTCTATCTCCTGACCTCGTGATCTGCCCGCCTCGGCCTCCCAAAGTGCTGGGATTACAGGCCTGAGCTACCAAGCCCGGCCGGTCATTTTTTTTTTTTTTTTGACACTGAGTCCTGCACTTTTGCCCAGGATGGGGTACAATGGCGCAATCTCTGCCCCCTGCAGCCTCCCCCTCCTAGTTTCAAGTGATTCTTCTGCCTCAGCCTCCTGAGTAGCCAGGATCATAGCTGCACACCACCACACCCTTTGTATTTTTACTAGAGACGGGGTTTCACCACGTTGGCCAGACTGGTCTCTAACTCCCGACTGTGATCTGCCCACCTCAGCCTCCCAAAGTGCTGTGATTACAGGCATGAGCCACCGCGCCCAACTTGGTCATGGTTTTTATAAGCCAGAGTCAATCAGAGCTAAGGCAGGGTGTGGGTGAGGGCCGAGCTGGGTCCCTGAGCTGCCCCATCCCTCTGCCCCTCACTAGTGAGCAGCTTTTCATGGAGATGGCTGACCGGATGGCACAGGATGGATGGCGGGACATGGGCTACACATACGTCAACATCGATGACTGCTGGATTGGTGGGCGCGATGCCAGCGGCCGCCTGATGCCAGATCCCAAGCGTTTCCCTCATGGCATTCCCTTCCTGGCTGACTACGTGAGCTGCACCCCAGCCCTGCCCTTGGCCTCAGGGCTAGACTGCTCCTTTCACCCTACCTTGCTTAGGGCTCATTTAAATAGTCCTTGTTTGAGATCTCAGTCTACTGTGGGAAACAAATGAACGCCAACTTTCTGCTGGCTGTGGTGAGTGAGAGCCAGAAAGAGCATCTTACTCAGCCTGGGATTCCAGAAAGGTTCCCTGGAGGAGGCAGTTCTTGAGCTGAACCCAGAGAGATGGCATAGGAGGCAGAGAGGATGGCAGGAGCAAACACCTAGGGGCAAGAAATAGCCGCTGGGAGGTATGTGTTGGGGGAAGGGTGGGCCATTGTGGGCAGAGGCCTAGCCAGCATGCTGAGGCCCTCTCCTTTGGTCAGTGGGAACCACTGAAGGTTTAATGGGGCCTGGTCAGATGTGCCTTGAGGAGACTCCCTGAGGGTCCTGCTTGAGCCCATTGTGCCCTCAACCCCCCATAGGTTCACTCCCTGGGCCTGAAGCTGGGCATCTATGCAGACATGGGCAAATTTACCTGCATGCATTACCCAGGCACCACACTGGACAAGGTGGTCCAGGATGCTCAGACCTTTTCGGAGTGGAAGGTGGACATGCTTAAGCTGGATGGCTGCTTTTCCACAGACAAGGAACGGGCCCTGGGTGAGTTGCTCCTCCAGGCTGTTCCCCCCATCTGTGGTTGGGACACACAGAAAGACAGGGAGCGTGGCTGTGGAGAGCCACCAGCGCCAACCTGGCTGAGCTTCCCAATTCCCCTCACCTAGGGGTTAGGGGGATTGTGGCTCTCAGGTTCTCTATATATGGGGTGGCAGCATAGCCCACCCCGGAAGTGTTTGAGGCTCTGGGTACGTGGGGAGGCACCTACTCTTCAGAGCTTGTTTCCTCACTCACATCTTTTGGGAAGAGGTTTGCGCTGAGGGCCCAGACTGCCTCCTCAGGCCTGAAACAGGTTGGGCTTTCTCCAGGGTACCCCAAGATGGCTGCTGCCCTGAATGCCACAGGCCGCCCGATTGCCTTCTCCTGCAGCTGGCCAGCCTATGAAGGTGGCCTCCCCCCCAGGGTAAGCCATTCTGCACCTTGCCTGATGGCGCTTCCCCCAACCAGGCCTCCTTGCCTCCTCAGTGCCAGGCTTCAGGGAGGTAGCCTTCCAGAGCCAGGACTACTCTCACTGCAGATGCCCCCATGCTGATCTGTAGGTGTCTACAGACCTATATAAGTACCTGCAAAGAGCAGGTGGGCTCAGCCAGCTCAGAGAGGTGTGTGTTGGAGGGAGAGGCGGGCCTTAGAGAAGAGGCCCTTGAGAGGTGGGCTGAAGGAGTTGGCATCTGAGGCAGGAGAGCCATCAGTGCTGGCACATAGCGCCCAGGATCCCGGGAGGTGCCCAGTGGACGAGGAGACCCAGAGGGCAGGGTAGGCTTCTAGCACCAGCATGCACAGAGGGGAGACCCTGGTAGCTCCAGAATAGGGCACCGTCTCAGAGGCCTTCGTCACCCTGAGCAAGATGATGGGGCCTGTTCTCTTCCCTTTTCCCCACCCTCTGAGTCTCCTGCTGAGTCTCCCCAACTCCTGTGTGGGTCTCTGGGCTGCAGTGTGTGATTCTGGTGCTGGACTCTGCCTTCCCCTTGATGTCCAGGTGAATTACAGTCTGCTGGTGGACATCTGCAACCTCTGGCGCAACTATGATGACATACAGGACTCCTGGCGGAGCGTGCTCTCCATCCTGAACTGGTTTGTGCAGCACCAGGACATACTGCAGCCGGTGGCCGGCCCTGGGCACTGGAATGACCCTGACATGGTACCAGGATGGAGGGGGATGTCCCTAGGCCCACCATCCGTGATGACCCTGCTCCCTACTGCCCTGTGCTCTCTTCTTCCCTGGATGCTCACTGCCAGGTTCTAGGTCAGCACTTCTGAAATGTGTCCCTGAACTGGCTGCTTTAGACTTGACTTAGCTGTTTTCCAGGGCCCTATCCCCCACGTTTTGAAGTTTCAGGGGAAGAACCTGGGAATGCCCACTGTTAAGCATCTCCCTCCGCCCCGACAACCCCAGGCAATTCTGATGTTTCTGAAAGCTCAAGAACTTGGTCTGTAGTGACCCTGGAATAAGATGTTAGATCATGACCTTGCTATTCCCGGTGCCTGGAGTGTTCTCCCCCATCTGCCTCTGATCCTTTTGTCAGTGCCCTGCCTGGTCCTCCACAGGCACAACTTGCCCTCACAGTCCTCCTTCTAGCCCTTATGGTTTATCTCAGTCATTGCCCTGGGCCATTTTGTTTTTGAATTTATAGCTTTATAGTTATCTGTTAGTCAACAAGCATTTACTACTTGACTGATCCTATGATAATAAGAATTACAAGTGCTAAACTAGGCAGAGGGAACAGCCTGGAGGAGCAAGAACTGGCCTACTCTGGAGTCCCAGCTCTAGCTCTGCCACTTTACCTTGGGCAAGTAACTTCATTTGTTCTGTGCCTCAGTTTTGTCAGTTGGAAATAAGAATAATAGTAGCTACCTTATAGAGTTGTTTTGAGGGTTAAAATAACTCTAAAATGCTTGGGACAGTGATGGGCACAAAACTGTAGTCACTAAGCCTGTAGCTTGTGTTCTGACTATGGATTGCTTGCCCTGGGGTTAGGAGTCCCCCTTGGTCCCTTCAGCTGTGGCTAACAGCTTCTCGGTGGTTGTGGCCAGTGGTAGGTGCAGGAACTTTGTCCAGTTCTGTTTCCTTTCACTGTCACCCTGGAGCATTTATTGACTTGACCTAGTTTATAAGCTTTTTGGCCAGGTGCAGTGGCTAACACCTGTAATCCCAGCACTTTGGGAGGCTGAGGTGGGTGGATACACAAGGTCAGGAGATCAAGACCATCTTGGCTAACACAGTGAAACTCTGTATCTACTAAAAATACAAAAAATTAGCCAGGCATGGTGGCATGTACCTGTGGTCCCAGCTACTTGGGAGGCTGAGGCAGGAGAATTGCTTGAACCCTGGAGGTGGAGGTTACAGTGAGCCGAGACTGCACCACTGCACTCCAGTCTGGGTGACAGTGTGAGACTGTGTCTCAGAGGGGGAAAAAAAAAAAAGCTTTTTGACAACAGGAGCCTGTATAATCATCTGAACCACCTCCATCACCTCCGTGGTTTTTTGAGTCAGTCTTGCTCTGTTGCAGAGGCTGGAATGCAGTGGTGCAACCTTGGCTCATTGCAACCTCCAATTTCCGGTTCAAGTGATTCTCATGCTTAAATAAGTAGCTGGGATTACAGGTGCACACCATCACGCCTGAGTAATTTTTGTATTTTCTGTAGAGATGAGGTTTTGCTCTGTTGGCCAGGCTAGTCTCTAACTCCTGGGCTCAAGTGATTCACTTGCCTCAGCCTCCCAAAGTGTGGGGATTACAAACGTGAGCCACCGCACCTGGCCACCTGCCCACCCACCTACTGCTGATTCTGTGTTCTTCATGGAAAATAAAAGCTGATGCTCCAATAGAAAGTGACTTGAGTCCCCCAAGGCCACACAGCTGGAGAATGGTGTTTGCTGAACCAGGTCTCCACATGCAGCCATCTTTCCCCAGTCCCTACCTGCTCTTCCTCGGCTACAAGTTTGGGGGTGGTCCCTGTGTCTACCTCCTTGAGGAGATCAGAGCTGACTACTCCTCTTCTCTGTCCCCAGCTGCTCATTGGGAACTTTGGTCTCAGCTTAGAGCAATCTCGGGCCCAGATGGCCCTGTGGACAGTGCTGGCAGCCCCCCTCTTCATGTCCACAGACCTGCGTACCATCTCCGCCCAGAATATGGACATACTGCAGAATCCACTCATGATCAAAATCAACCAGGATCCCTTAGGCATCCAGGGACGCAGGATTCACAAGGTACTAGGGTGAGGAGGGAAGGAAGGGGAGGGCTGAGGAACTGAGCTCCCCTGAGAGAAAGGTTGACAGCATCACCTGGGGGAGATACTTGGAGGGGGTACAGGAGTTGCTCAACCCGCAACCAGGCATACCCCTTCTGGTTGCATATAGTTGAGGACTCTGCTGGGAGCTGCTCCCACTGTCATCCTCTTGCTGAGTGAAAGCAGAACCAAGCAGGACAGCTCAGGGAGTCAGGAATGAGAGGCATCAGCCACATAAGGGCACACAGGAAGGGTGAGGCACAGGGCTTCTAAACACCCGTGATAGCCTGCAAGAACTTGGACTTCCCTGCAGAGCAGGAGGAGCTTGAGTTTTTTGTTTGTTTTTGACACAGGGTCTCACTCTGTTGTCCAGGTTGGAGTGCAGTGGCACAATCTTAGCTAACTGCAGCCTCCACCTGCCGGATTCAAGCAATTCTTGTGCCTCAGCCTCCTGAATAGCTGGCATGCCCAGCTAATTTTTTTTTTTTTGAGATGGAGTTTCGCTCTTGTTACCCAGGCTGGAGTGCAATGGTGCAATCTCGGCTCACCACAACTTCCACCTCCTGGGTTCAGGCAATTCTCCTGCCTCAGCCTCCCAAGTAGCTGGGATTACAGGCATGCGCCACCATGCCCAGCTAATTTTTTGTATTTTTAGTAGAGATGGGGTTTCACCATGTTGACCAGGATGGTCTCGATCTCTCGACCTCATGATCCACCTGCCTTGGCCTCCCAACGTGCTGGGATTATAGGCGTGAGCCACCGTGCCTGGCCTAATTTTTGTATTTTTAGTAGAGACAGCATTTCACCACATTGGCCAGTCTGGTCTTGAACTCCTGACCTCAGTGATGCACCTGCCTCAGCCTCCCAAAGTGCTGAGATTACAGGTGTGAGCCACCAAACCTGGCCAGGAGAAGCTGTTATAGCCAAAGACTACTATGACTACTATTGGCAGCTATTTATTGAGTACGTACCATGTGCTGGGAGTTCTAGATACCTTTGCGGGCTGGCCAGCAAGGTAGGTATCTTGCCACAAAAGAGAAAAATGAAACTTCAAAGGGTCTGAGTAACTTTAACCCAAGGCTACATAATATAAACAAGAACAGTGTCACCTCAAAGCCTTCGCTTTTTTTTTTTGAGGCGGAGTTTTTTCCCTGTCTCCCAGGCTGGAGTGCAGTGGCACCATCTCGGCTCACTGCAACTGCCAACTCTCAGATTCAAGCGATTCTCCTCCCTTAGCCATCCAGGTAGCTGGGATTACAAGTGTGCGCCATCACACCCTGCTAATTTTTTTGTATTTTTTTTTTTTTAGTAGAGACAGGGTTTCATCATGTGGGCCAGACTAGTCTCAAACTCCTGACCTCAGGTGATCTACCTGCCTTGGCATTGCAAAGGACTGGGATTACAGGCATGAGCCACCACGCCCGGCTGCTTTTGCTCTTTACCAAACCCTGGACTCTGGTAAAAATAAACCTACAGCACTACAGAATCCCAGTCCCACCTGCAGAACTGGAGATGCCCAGAGGAAGTAACAATTCCCTGCCAGAAAGGCTGATGGGTAGAGCTGGGCCTGGAGAACCTTCTGGAGGATGGGAGTTCATATCCAGCTCCAATCTCCACCCTCCTGGAACAGAGTTCATCATTCCCACTGGACAGCACACTCCAGTCCAGCACTGGCAGCTGTCTGGGGGCCGCACTCATGTACTACTCAGTTGCTGCTTCCCCATTTCTGCATTTATCCCTCTTGTTGTCCTGTGAGCTTCTGGGGCAGGCCCTCATGCAGCATTTGTCTCAGGGTGCTAGCGTGGGGGCCAGGCTCCAAGTAGGTGTTGATGAGTGTCTGCTGAGTCAGGGAAGGCAGGCAGGTAGCGTTAGATAAGCTGGGGTGCTGGAAGCCCGTAGCATCCTCCGTAAGCCTATGTGACCCAGTACTCAGGGAGGGCCAGGGAGGCAACTGTAGGGCCTGAGCAAGGGACCCCAGCCAGTAGCCACCTTCTGTGCCCAGGAAAAATCTCTTATCGAAGTGTACATGCGGCCCCTGTCCAACAAGGCAAGCGCCTTAGTCTTCTTCAGCCGCAGGACCGATATGCCTTATCACTACCACTCCTCCCTTGGCCAGCTGAACTTCAGTGGGTCCATGATGTATGAGGTGAGTGTCCAGCTGCCTGTAGCTACCCACCTGGGCTTCAGATCTCCCTGGGAGGGTGTTATGGGAAGGTGGTTGTTCACACATGGCCTCCCCTGAGCCGTGGGCTTAGGGCCTCTGGCAGGTGCCCATGGGGAGCTGCAGGCACTGAGAGCTGAAGCTGGTGCCATGCTCTGTACCAGTGTTTTCAACCTATGCGAACAGAACTACTGCATATAAATAAGTCCCATTAGCCTTTAGGGCTGTACTCCTCCTCCCACAGGTCAGCCCTTGCTGGCATGTTTCTCACAGTTTTCCATGGGCTTGGGCATCTGTTGGATTTGCTGGTAGAGACATGATGGAGATTCAGGGCTCCCACTTCTGTAGGGCATACTGGAAGCCCAGCACAGATGGGCCAAAGTCCAGGCAGAGGCCTTCTACATCCTCTGGGGGTGGGGGGGGCCTCTGTGCATCCATTTCTCATAGTGGCATTGGTGATATCCCTTCCCACTGCAGGCCCAGGATGTCTACACAGGTGATATCATCAGTGGCCTCCAAGCTGAAACCAACTTCACAGTGATCATCAACCCTTCGGGGGTAGTGATGTGGTACCTGTATCCCATCAAGAATCTGGAGATGTCCCAGCAGTGAGGAGCTGGAACATGTGACAGGCTGTGGTGGCACCACTGAGCCTAGACCATGAACTTTGGCATGCCCAGGGCACATGGGCAGGTTCTTTGCCCCCCCCCCAGGCCCTGCTTGGTGACTGACCCCATCGTACCCGAAGTGCAATCTCAGGGCCAGGTTCTATGCCCTGCCCTCTTGGAAACTTCTCTTGGGGCAATTTTCCTGTGGCCTTCCTGGCCTCTACTTTGTCTGTGGAGCCCCTCAGATGTTGCTGAGCAACTCGCCAGCCTCCTGAGCCCCATGCCCATCAGAACTCTAGCCTCTGACCTTGTTGTTGACTCTGAAACTAGGATTTGGAATTTTTCAAATTAGTAGAGAGATCTGACCTCTTGCCAGGAACGCCCATGAATTGTGTGATCGGCTTTTTTACCCATAGAAGGCCTTGCAGGCTGATACCACCTGGGAGTGAGGATCAAAAAGGAGACCTTGGCTCCCTCAGGTCACCAATAAACCTGTGAAAGTTGCTGTAATCAAGTAGTTGTAATATGGACCTGGGGCACTTTTAGTTAGGGACTTTGGAGGCACTCAAATCTCACCTCTATGGAAGATGTATGGCATCTTCTGGCCCCTCTTTTTCCAAAGTGACCTGAAGATTATACTTCCTAGAGATGCCAGATTTGCCGCCACTAAGGAGCTGCCCATGCTGTGCCTAGCATGGTGGCAACACAGTGAGGCCAAGTAGCAATGCTCCCAGGCCCTGTAGCTTGTGCTTTGCCCAGGAGTGCCCCTAGCCCAGCATCTCAGCCTGCTTTTCTCTCTGGTGGCTCCACTCCCACCCCTACTTCTCTCTCTTCATTATTTCTCTCCCAACCTGACTACAGAGGTTTATATTCCCCAGATGTGTCTATAAACCTGTCCAAGAGTTGTGGTTTAAAAACTGCTTTCCTGTTCCTCTTCCTAAGGATAGGGGTAACAGTAATTTTTTTTTTTTTGAGACAGAGTTTTGCTCTTGTTACCCAGGCTGGAGTGCAATGGCGCAGTCTTGGCTCACCGCAACCTCCGCCTTCTGGGTTCAAGCAATTCTTCTGCCTCAGCCTCCCGAGTAGCTGGGACTACAGGCGCGCACCACCATGCCCAGCTAATTTTTGTATTTTTAGTAGAGACGGGGGTTTCACCTCGTTGACCAGGATGGTCTCAATCTCTTGACCTCGTGATCCACCCGCCTCGGCCTCCCAAAGTGCTGGGATTATAGGCGTGAGCCACTGTGCCCGGCCATTTTTTTTTTTTTTTTTTTTTTTTGGGAGGAAGGGAGGAAGGCAGGAAGGGAGGGAAGGAGGAAGGGAGGGAGGAAGGAAGGAATGAAGGAAGGGAGGAAGGGGGGAGGGAAAGAGGGAGGGAAGGGAAGGAAGGAAATCAAGCATGAGAGAGACATTGCCAACCTGGATCTAGAGGTTTACAAGTTGATTTTTTTTTTTTTTGAGAGAAGGAATGAAAAAAAAATGAGTAAAGGAGAGGAAGAGAAAGAGGGAGGGTGAACGGAAATATTGCTTTATTCTGAAAAAAAAAATGGGTATTAATAATGGCCAATCAATGTTTCATTTAAACCTATGAGTAGGTGTGATGTGGTATTGATAAGAATGTATATTTTGTGTATTTGAAGTGGAGAGCTCTATAAATATTAAGTTTACTTGTTCCAGATCTGAGTTCGAGTCCTTGATATCCTTATTAATTTTCTGTCTCATTGAATCTAAGTCTCTATGTTGTATCTGGGTGTTAGGATCGTTAGCTCTTGTTGTTGCATTGATCCTTTTACCACTGTATCTTTGTTGCTTTAAAACCTATTTTATCCGATACGAGAATTGCAACTCCTGCTTTTTATTTATTTATTTATTTTTGCTCTCCATTTGGTTGGTAAGTCTTTCTCCATCCCTTTGAGTCTTTGTGTATCCTTGCATGTGAAACAGGTCTGGATGTAACATGCTGTTGGGTTTTGGCTGTGTCTTTTGATTGGGGGATTTAGTCTATTTAAATTTAGGGTTACTGCCATTTGATGTTAACTGGCTGTTTTACCCATTCGTTGATGTAAATTCTTCATGATGTTGCTGCTCTTTACTTTTTGGTATATTTTTAGAAAGGCTAATACTGGTTGTTTCTTTCTGTGTGTAATGCTTCTTTCAGAAGCTCTTGTAAAGCAGGCCTGGTGGTAATAAAATCTCTGAGTACTTGCTTGTTCATAAAAGATTTTATTTTTCCTTCAGTTGTGAAGCTTAGTTTGGCTGGATATGAAATTCTGGGCTGAAGGTTCTGTTCTTTGAGGATGTTGAATATCGGCCCCCACTCTCTTCTGGCTTGCAGAGTTTCTGCTGAGAGATCTGCTGTAAATCTGATAGGCTTGCCTTTGTGGGTAACATGACCTTTCTCTCTGGCTGCCCTTAGTATTTTCTCCTTCATTTCAACCCTGGTGAATCTAACGATTATGTGCCTTGGGGTTGCTCTTCTTGAGGAATATCTTTGTGGTGTTCTCTGTATTACCTGGGGTTGAATATTGACCTGCTTTGCTAGTTCAGGAAAATTTTCCTGAATAATATCCTGAAGGGTGTTTTCCAGCTTGGATTCATTCTCTCCGTTGCATTCAGGTACACCTACCAAACGTAGATTTGGTCTTTTCACATAGTCCCACATTTCTTGGAGACTTTGCTCATTCCTTTTTATCCTTTTTTCTCTAATCTTGTCTTGTTTTATTTCATTAAGTTGGACTTTGACCTCTGATATCCTTATGCTTGAACAATTCAAGTGTTTAAACCTGTGCATACTTCTCGGAGTTCCTGTATTGTATTCTTCACTTCCATTAATTTACTTATATTCCTCTCTAAGTTGTCTATTCTCAATAGGATTTCATCAAACCTTTTTTCAAAGTTCCTAGTTTCTTTACTTTGGGCTACAACATGTTCTTTTAACTCACAGAAGTTTCTTATTATTCATTTCCTGAAGCATGATTCTGTTATTGGGATGCGCTCGTTCTCCATCAAGCCTTGTTCCATTGTTGATGTGGAACTGTGATCATCTTTAGAGGGAGAGGCGTTCTGATTTTGAGTATTCTCAGCCTTTTTATGCTGGTTTCTTCCCATCATTGTAAATTTATCCTCCTGTCGTCTTTGAAATTACCAACTTTCAGATTAGGTCTCTTGAGTGGACGTCCAAGTTGTTAGTTCCCTGGGCCAGAACAGCGGCGTTAAGACTGATGGTGCTTTTCTGCCCAGGATTCTCCTATCTGGCTTCCTTCTTGTGTCTGTAATAGGCGACTCTGCCTTCCCAGGGCTCCAAACCTTGGTCAGAAGGGGATCCAGTCTCATTTACTCTGTGCCGAGAGTTGCCGCGCTGAGGTGCCGTCACAGCCGCTGCGCTGGCCTCAGGAGTCATGCTGGGGACCCGTGTGGGTCCTCCAAACCTCGGTCGGAAGGGGAGCCAGCCCTGTTTACTCTGCTCGGAGAGCTGCTGCGCCGAGGTGCCGGCGAAACCGCTGTGCCGGCCACAAGAGTCGCGCTGGCGACCCGTGTGACTCCTCCACTGGGGGTTCTTCTGCTCCATGAGTGACTAGAATTTGTCTGAAAGTGTGGCGTCCTCTAGTTCTCTGCGCTTCCACTGAGAGCTGCAATCCCGAGATGTTAGCGATCGGCCATCTTGGATTGTTCTCCCTTTTTTTTTCCGAGAAGGAGTTTCGCTCCTGTCACCCAGGCTGGAGTGCAATGGCGCGATCTCGGCTCACCGCAACCTCCGCATCCTGGGTTCAGGCAATTCTCCTGCCTCAGCCTCCTGAGTAGGTGCCCCAGGCCTTGCACTGTCCTGCTCAAAGACTATTTTCTGGGTGGATCTCCCACACTCCTCAGGGTTCTGAGATCCTTGTACTTAGGGTATGGTGTAAAAACTTACACATGCACATTTTGTTACATCATTTAACTGGAGCTTCACTAGTTAAGTACAGAGTCACCAGATAAAATTTATTTCCGCAGTCAATGTCTTGAGGCTGTTGAGAAACTCGGGACAGACGCCTACCTCATCCCAGGCCTCTGTCCTTGAAGGCCTACCCCTCTGTGCATAGCTCCAGCTTTGGGTCTTGCTCATAGTGCTGTTCAAGCAAAATGGAATAGTCTCAGTTGGGAACACCTTCTCTTGTCAGTTCCAGGAAGGCTTTCCCACCACTCTGGTATCTAAGTTCAGACTTGTGAGTTCAGGCCCCCAACTCTGGGCCTGAACTCACAAGTCTGAGCTTAGATACCAGAGTGGTGGGAAAGTCACCAATTAATTCCCTCACCTTTCAGCCCAAGATAGCTACATGTCTTTACTTGCTGTTTAAGTTATCCTTTTGTCCTGGGGGTGCCTCATTGATCCTATCTCTTCACCCTTCATTCTTTCGACACACATGCCATCTATCTCCCAGGTGTTTATTCCCTTTTATTCAAGGCCAGTTAGGAATGAAATTATTTTTTCTCAGTTCAAGACAGACTTGTTTGGACCCAAGGTGCTCTTTCTCTTTTTAAAAACTTTTTATCATAAAAACTTTCAAATTCAAAAGTAAAATGGTAGAGTGAACCTCCTTATACCCAGCATCCAGCTCCAACAACCATCAAACTTGTACCATTATTTCATCTCTCTTCCTGCACATGCTCCTCTGATATGTCAGCTAGAGTATGTGAAAGGAAATCTCAGAAAACCCTAAAAACCACTATGTATCTCTAATAGATGAGGGCTTTAAAAATATACATATGGGCCGGGTATAGTGGCTCATGCCTGTAATCCCAGCACTTTGGGAGGCCAAGGCAGGTGGATTACCTGAGATCAGTTCAAGACCAGTCTGACCAACATAGTGAAACCCCATCTCAAAAATTAAATAAATAAAACAAATATATATATATATATATATATATATATATATATATATATATACATACACATGCACACACACACACAAACACACACACACGACCTTAATACAATTTTCCTATCTAACAAAACAATTTTAAAATGAGTTTATGCTCAGTTTTTGCCAGCTGTCTCAAAAATATCTCTCTATAGTTTGTCTGAATCAAAATGGTCCAGTGAGAGCCACTGAAAGTTTGCTCCCTTCATAAAAGCATTGAAAAACCTGCCACACACTATCAGAATCAACTTTCCCAGAACTCTGGAAATTCACCAAAAGCTTGCAGCAACCCAGAGAGCTTCAGCTGAAAAACATTAATTTTGTTGAATTCCAGTAGGAACAGCTAGTTATGTGGTATTTTACATTATCAGATTTTAAATCAGCTATTTTAAACAACATTTTCAAAGAGCCAAAGGAAGCCATGTCTAAAGAAATACAGGAAAGAGCCAGGTGCAGTGGCTCACACCTGTAATCCCAACACTTTGGGAGGCCAAGGCAGGGGGATCACAAGGTCAGGAGTTTGAGACCAGCCTGGCCAATACTGTGAAACCCAGTCTCTTCTAAAAATGCAAAAATTAGCTGGTGTGGTGGTGCGCACCTGTAATCCCAGCTACTCAGGAGGCTGAGGCAAGAGAATCACTTCAACTAGGGAGGCAGAGGTTGCAGTGAGCTGAGATCATGCCACTGACTCCAGCCTGGGCAACAGTGAGACTCCATCTAAAAAAAAAAAAAAGAGGCCAGGTGAGGTGGCTCATGCCTGTAATCTCAGCACTTTGGGAGGCTGAGGCAGGTGGATCACGAGGTCATAAGATTGAGACCATCCTGGCCAACATGGTGAAACCCTATTTCTATTAAAAAAAAAAAAAAAAAAAGAAATACAGGAAAGAATAAGAATGATGTCCAAACAGAGAATAACAAAGAGGAGATAAAACTGGAGTGGGGAAAAAAGCACAAATTCTGGAATTGGAAAGTACAATAACTGAAATGAGAAATTCACTAAAGAGGTTCAATAGATTTGACACAATCAGCAAACTTGAAGATAGATTCATTGAAATTAACCTCTGTGAGAAAAAGAAAGAAACAAGAATGAAGAAAAATGAGCAAAACTTCGAAAACTTTTGAGATTCTACCAAATGTACCAAATATACACAAAGAGAAGGGGGTAAAATATTGGAAGAAATGCTTGAAAATGTCTCACATTTGATGGAAAATAATAATCTACCTATCCAAGAAACTCCATGAACTCCACGTAGGTTAAACGCAAAGAGCTCCATACCTAGACATATCATAACCCTCAAAAGACAGAATTTTGGCCGGGTGCGGTGTCTCACGCCTGTAATCCCAACACTTTGGGAGGCCAAGGCAGGTGGATCACAAGGTCAAGAGATCGAGACCATCCTGGCCAACCCTGGTGGCGCATGCCTGTAGTCCCAGCTACTTGGGAGACTGAGGCAGGAGAATTGCTTGAACCCAGGAGGCGGAGGTTGCAGTGAGCCGAGATCACGCCATTGCACTCCAGCCTGGGTAACAAGAGCGAAACTCCGTCTCAAAAAAAAAAAAAAAAAAAAAATTGTAAAATGGCAGATGTAAACCTTACCTTATCAGCAATTACATGTAAACAGATTAAATACAGATTGACAGAATGCATTTAAAAGATACACAAACATACATGCAATCTAAAAATGTACTTTATTCAAGAGACACTTAAGACTCAAAGACACATAATAAGTTGGAAGTAAAAGGATGGAAAAAGATATACCATGCGAATGGTAGCCAAA